TTTTTCTCTTTTGTAATTCATTGTGAAATTAAATTATTTACCCAAAACTCACATATTAAGGATGACACAATCCACTTTAAAGGGTCCACTTTAGTGGCAATTTCTTGTACTGACACACATTTTTTGTCCCAAATGTTCATCGGTCATGCTACATAACCTCAATATGGCGTCTGATCTTTCAGCGTATGTCTCCTGTCTACGTTTATACTGGAAAAAAGAAAATAAAATCCATAAATTAAAAGCATCGTCCCACAGGTAATAAAATCTTCAATTTTAAAACTTCATATTTTTTTTATTAAGCATTTAAAAGTGGCTTACTGAAGACCATAGTCATAAATAACACATTTTTATTATATTGAAAAATAGAATATGATATATCAAATATATATATAATGTACCATCATGTACAGAGGACAATTTAAGCAGAAACTGTAGTGAAAACCACCTTGTGCAATGCAATGGAAAACTGTATAACAGTTCATTCCCAAACACTACACCATGCAGGCTCTGCGTCCATATTTATTCATTTATTTCTCTCTTACACACACACGCGCGCGCACATATTCCCCTCTGCGTGTATCCACAAATATATACAGAGATTTTACTTAGAAAATGTAGAAAAATTGCATATAAAACATCTCTTACCACATAAAAGTGCTCAGTTTGATAAACACTGCATGTATGTGGCCACATGTGGTTTGAGAAAAGCAAAACAGACTTAACGTTTCAGACTCACATCTAACACACTGGCTATTTCACTGATAGTTGTAATATACTTTCACAATGTTTTTAGAAGTAAAGGGTGAGAATTTGCACAGGTTTCAATAACCTCCTGGGCTTTATGCCAGTTTCACTGGTTGAAAGGAAATATTTCACACATTTTACCGTATACCACAGGCCACATTGTAAGAATCTTTGCATTTGTTATGTTAAATACAAAGGAATACTTGTCCGTCTGCTGAGGAGAGCATGTCTGTAAAAAGCACAAACCTGTGTCATTTTATCAGCTCGTTTTAAAGCAATTTCTGACTTTTTGTTGAATGTGCTACTTGTGTGTTTGAGCAGTCTTTGTGAATTACTGTTGAGGACATAAATGCAGCAGCCATCATCAAAACAAAGTGACCACCAATCCCTTTTGACATTTCAGAAGAAAACGAAGCCTGCAACTTTGACTAGTTGAATGTTGGCACATTTTCTTTCCCCCCTACCAAATAAAGAAATGCAAAACGAACGTTAAAAAGAAAGACACCCTTAAAAAAATACAATATTTTAAAGCAAATACCTGCAAATCTTATCTGCCATGTCAAGTTATATCTTTTACCAAACCTATAACTAATCAGTACTAAATTATTTGTTGACATGATTTTTCTTTTGGCTCAAAACAAGATCTGCAGACTGAACCATACAGCACAAACATGCTATAATCCCATTGAAGTGAAAGCCCAGGCAGGCACCTTCAAGGCCACGAAGAAAACATAGTTTTGTAAACACAGAGAAAACTACGAAAAGCAAAGAAAATTCGAACATTGATGATAGGAATTTAAAATGGGAGTATGGGAACGTGGGTGGGGGTGGGTTGGAGTGATAAATGTGCAATTAAGCGCCTGACATCCCTTACGTAGCTCCTGAAGAAGGAAACAGTCTTCACAGGTAAACTCAGATCTGTCCAAAACATTTAACACAAACACAGAAATATTTAGAAGAGCTACCAAACCCTTGCATCAGATACTAAAACTTATTTGTCAACTTAAAAGTAAGTAACGATAAGAAACAGCTGTTTGCATTTTTGATAACGACATAAAAAAAATCCAGTGTCTGACTTGTAAACAAAACAATGACAGAAAGATCTCTCTATTTGTGACATGTGCATAGAAAACCTACTTCCATAAGTTTGCTTTAACTCCTCGATTGTACTTCAACATTCGGTCCAGCGTTTCGACATGTGGCATCTAACAGAGGCACTACGACAAGCTAGCTATAGCAGCAAATCAAGCTTTTACGTCTCAATCTGTTTACTTCAAACGTATATAATTTTCAAAACACAAAACAAAATCACACAATACTCGTAGTCAAATGTGCATAAGCTCTTAGATGTACCTTTCCACAATCTGACAGACCTCTGCTAATAACAAAAAAAAAAAACCCTTCTACCATTACACAGACACAAATAGAAAAGCTTGTTCCATACTCTAATACGGGCTCTTTAATATAACCCACTGATGTAAAGTTATAGTCAAGAAAGAAGGAAAAAATAATTGCACATGTGTATTTGGCATAAATATAAGATTATTTGCTATCAGGATAGCCTGATAGTTTACTAAATATTATCATTGGTTTTCAGATTTTAAGATTAAGTAAAAGTAGACATTTTTGTACAATAAAAGAGATACTGCTTTTTAATTCCTACATAATAGAAGAAAGCTGTATATTCATGGTGATTATAAATACAAAGAGAGGATTGCACTAAGGTATTTGTTCAATAATAAACTGGATTTTTGATAGAAATACTTCATCAGAATATTTGGCCATTCAGTAATCTCGAAGGCTGCGGGGGTGAGCACCAAGGTGCTGTTGATGTGAAGTTAATAAACCTAACATCAAATTATATTATTTCACATTATGAAAGGCTTTTTCTAACTGCAGTGTGAGTTTATGTTGATCTGCAGGACAGCTAGATAAGGTGGATTAAATAATTATGCTGCGTTCGGATGTTTGGAAGTTGTCCTTGAATTTTTCTGATAAGCAGTTCGCTCTACTTTATATTGCCCAAATGCAGTCCAACTAACGATTTAAATAAGAAGGATATTTATATATTTGAAAAGGTAGCAAGGTGAAAAAAAGTCTTTGTACAAAACAAAAAGAGAGTGTGATAATATATATTAATATACTATATTGCCTCTACATATAAAACATGTGGACAGGCAAAATATCCAGAACCATTAGGATGGATTTAGGCTAAATTAGCTATTTAAGCTAATTAAGCTAAATAAGCTAAATTAGCTTAGCCTAAATAATGGAAATTAAAGTTACATAAAATCCTTGTCCACTATTTACTGTGCCACACTTAAAAAATAAACAAAAACATTACTTCAACAGTAAATAGACATTAAATCTATAAATAAAGGAAAATGCATATTATAATGCATACTCTATTTCTCTTCTATAGATTCATAGAATAGATTTTCTTTACTTAGAATAACAAACACTGCTCCCTAACCTTACATGCCTTGTATTTTCTGTCCATTTCCCTACTGGCCAAATAATCACTATTTCATAAGTAAGTAAATATTCTGTTCTGGTAAAAAACAGTCGCTATCAAAGACTAACCAGTAATTTTGCAGACCTTCAATTTTGGAGGTACATTAATCAAAAATGATTCCCAGAGAGGCAGAATTTTTCTCTCAATCACAGCTTCAATAAGACAGGATTTTGTGTGTCCACATTGGGTTTTTTGTTTTTTTTTAGTAACAAGCAGAAGTCACTCTCTTTTGCTTTGCTTTTTGCGGTCCTCCCCTCCATGAATGGTGACATTAAACTGTTGACAGTCATCGGTGTTAGGAAAGCATGGGAAACAATTATTTAACATTAAGGAACACGACGAGGTGGGTACATGAAAGTAGCAATAGAAGAAAACGAACAGTTTAATATTCAACTGTTATTACTAATACACTAAGGGATAGTGTATTTATTTAACATTTCACAGTAGACAATAGTGTTTTTAAAATGTTTGCTTAGTCAGCTGCTTCAGACTGGGTCATTTAGGAAAAAGAAAGAAAATCAATCCTTTAAAAAATAAATCATACTGTGCTTTAAAAAAATATTAAAAATAAACAGTTGACATTATTCAGAGATTTAGGTCTCAAAGCACCACCGTTTATCAAGTAGACACAATACATTCTTATAAATGAACACAATCAGTGTGTCTTCATTTTAAGCAGCAACCGTAAGAGTTCGACACAGAGTGGCGACTTCCAACGCTCACACTACATTAATAAGACACATATTCGTACAGTATGTTTGTAGGTGTGCTGCTGCGTTCTTTCAGTTCTAAACTGACACAAACCAATTTGTCTAAACTGCATATCGGCTGATCAGGCACTTATTTGGGTCGTAGAAATAGAATGGAGAAGGACTCTCTGTCATATTTAATGGACAGGTCATATCACCTAATTTTGCTCATTAATGTCCTCTTGAGCATTAGAGGACCTTTCATTTATTCTGTGTCTTACATGGAGCAAACTACTTGACTCTGTTAATTTTCCAGGAACAAAAAAGGCGTATTACTGTGAATGGAGCACTATTGCTTTGATCTTGGAGATTTAATGTCCTTCACTTTCTTTCAGGAAAAAGGCTTTATGTGTCTCTGTGTTAGAAGCTGGACTCAGGGACTGTCTTTTTGCGTCCCAGTGAGGTTGTGCTGTAACGAGTCCTCTGCAAGGTGCCATGAGATGGTTTGTCGCTTGTCAGACTGCGTGATGATGCTGGCGTTGTTGACATCCCATTACGGTGCAAAGATGCTGTCCTACGCACGCTCTGCTCTGCTTTTGTTGGGATGTTGGTGGAGCTCTGGGAGCGTTTGATTTCAGTTGCTTTGCGCCCCACCTTACCGTTTACCTGCTCATTAACCACATGGCCTGAGCTTTTGGACTTGCCTCTTTCTTCTCCAGTTCGGCCTCCTGCTGCTCCATTGGACAGTGACGGCCTCGACAAGGTCCTTCTGCTTTCTTCTTCAACTACTGCTCTCCCTGACTCATCCTCAGTGGGTTTCCTTGAATCTTTATCCTTCTTCAGGAAGCTACCTTTAAAGAAGGACAGTATTCCGTCATGGCTCTTAGGCACGTCTGCTTTCTTGTTCTTAGAGTTTTCTTCTTGTGTGCTGTGGCGTTCCCTATCAGCCCTGTCTCCCTTTTGTCTTCTCAGAGTTCCATCTTGGAGACTGGGTGTGCTGTAGCTGGGCTGAACTCCAGTACTGGATCTCCGTTTTGTCTCAGTATCCTGTGAAGATTTGGAGGAGCTCTGTTTTTTTCCATCCTTCCTCCTAGTTAGAGTGTTAGTGCTGGAGCTGCTCTTGATATTCACAGTGCTCTCATCCTTAGCCTGGCTCCCCTTGCTACGTCTCAGACTAGCTGCTTTATCTGATGGCCACTTCTGGCCCTCTGGGACCTTTAGAAATGGCGGCTCCTCCCCCGTCTTACCCACACAACTAATACTTCCAACGCTAGACGAACGAACATTTGCTGCAACACGGCTCTTTGCAGCTTCCTTTGTGCTGCGTGGTTCATTCATTAATGTCGCTATCGGATCCTTTGTGCACCGGGGACGCCGACCAGATTCCAAGTACTGTACTAGTTCTACAGGGGCTGGATCAGGTTCAGGGGGAGGGACTGGGTCAGGTTTTCGTCTGTCCTTGGAACCAAAGGACCAGCGCATTGGAAGCACTCTGCTTAAGGTATCCTTGTTTTTGCTGGGGGCTCTCAGGCTCATGCTGCGCCCCTGAAGACCTCTGACAAATGGCCTCTTCTCAAATCCACCTGGCATTTATGTAGAGAGGGAAATATTTTAGGCTTTAAATAAAAAACCAAACACGTTTAGACAAATTATAAATAAAACACAAGTCTGTTGACAGCAGTGGTCCTTTTACCTCTTTCATCTTTGAAGCCGTTGTCCAGGAAGACTGGAGACTCTGGAGAGTCAGGTAAGGAAGATGGACAGGTGGTGGATGTATGAGACACCAGACTGCCTCTCTTACTGTCCCCCGTCAGCCTGATTAGCCAGTGGTCTGACACTGATGAACTTGTGGAGCCTATGACACAGAGAAAAAGGTTTGAGAGGAGGAACATACAGAATACTCCGCTTATTTAACATTGCACACATGTTGGACGATGGAAAAGCACAAATACTGTTTAGAAATTCTATGTTATTTTATTATTCATCTGACATATGGAGCTCTTATACTTCCCATAGTTATAATACCCAGAAGTTTCAAGAGTCAGTCTACAAAGAGGCGCAGGCTGTAAAGGCCTGGTGGTATTTAGCCTCAACCAAAAGTAAATTAAATGATATCACTTAATAGTGTTAATGAGACTTTGCCCCTCTGTCCTGCATCATTTTCTCTAGAAAGAAGCATGGCAACCATTAGCTGCTGTATGTCTGGTTTGCTCTTTTACTCTGGAATTTGGAATTATTCATAATTTCTGGCAAAAGTAGGCAAGTTAATTCAACAAGGGAGGGAAAGTAAAGGGAGCAAATACTAGTGGTAAATGAAATCTATCCATAATCACATTCCTGACCCCCCCCCCCTCACACACACACCCCACCCCCAATAATTAAGTTAACTATGTGTGAAGAACAAACATTTATCTGCGAAATAAATCACATTAGGCACATTTGCCAGGGCCAATGATAATCAATGTATTTTTCAGAAAAGCATTTAAATAAAACCTGCCTCTCGACGAAGATCCTGTTTAAGGCAGAATAAATCTTTTGAAATGCAAGTCACACTAATTTCACCAAGAAATTCAATAATGATTGAACAGGTACTTATCCAGCTCTAACAGCAATTCAGCAACTCTCAAATAGCTGAGTTTTACAAGGATTACTGTCTATGTTGGCTCTTTACATATATTTTCACATAGTGTTGACTCATAGAGAATTTCAGCAATTAATGTCAAGACTGTTTTTCTGAATCACTAAAAAATAAAAAAGTACATGGTTAGATTAAAAAAAAGTGAAGTTTCTCAGACGCCTTGAAAGAAGAATGAATGACAGCTGTCAAAGCAATGCGCACAGCAGACAGGCATTTCTTAGTTCTTTGCTACCATTTGCAAATATTTTACCAGGTAAGATATTTAGACAATGAGTTCATTTAGAGTACTATTAACCAATACTATTAAGTGCTGGTTGTATATGTCTTTGGGATCTAAATAGAATATGCTTTATTTCTGTTAACTAGTTTTACTCTCCAGACTTTTATCATTTTAAATCATTTTATCATGCAAGTAAACATTTTCAGAATAGTCCAACTAATGTTACAACTTTTGATCACATGAACTATAGATGGAGAATTCCTCTTCCTATACAAAATACAGGAAGAGGAATACAAGTACTTAGGGTAGTTCATCCTTCATTACAACGCAAAGGAGAGCATTTGGTTTAAGGTCTTTGAGAATCTGTAGCCAGTGGATCAACAGGACGTCCAGTGATTTTCAGCAACATTTGTTTTTTAACTTTCTATGTGGCGTTACTGTAACATGTTCTCCCTGTGTCTGTCTAGGTTTTCTCCAAATGATTTAGCTTTTTCTACAATCCAAAGACATACATGTTAGGTAAATGGGCGATTATTAACTGGCCATAGGTATGAAAGTGAACATTCTCTGCAATAGCTTTGCGACAGACTGGCAGCCTATCCAGGGAGTGCCTTGCCTTTCACTCTGAGTTAGCTGGGATAGGTTTCAACCTTCCCATGACCCTGGACAAAGAAAATTAATGAATGGAATCTTAGAGTCTGTTAGGATGC